GTATTTTGAGCTACTACATCCATAAGTATAGGTCAAGGTCATCAAATTGTAGCAATTTACACTTGTTTCCTTTATCAAATTTTTTTATCTTCCTCTATTCTAGTTCTGATCATCAAGTCATCCAAGTTAGGTCAAATGGGTACTATCTGCATGTTTGGGCATTCTTGTGTGTCTCCCCACACTTCAAATCAGCTGGACACTTCACTCTCAACTCTAGCCCTCTGTGGCTATGTCCTTGTCCACTGGCTTTGGAGTCCTTAGGTCTCACCACACTTCAGACCAACCAGCCTTTTATTTTCTCTCTCTCATCTCCAAGTAAACAGGAGTCTATGGAACATGATCGAACTCAGCCCATGTCTTCATTGCCGACTTTCTCCATCTTCCATTCACTAGTAGACCAACATGGTCACCAGCAAACTTACATGCCTGCTTGTGTGTTCCCTTTGAGTTTCAGTCTTGGAGGAGGATTTGTCCTGCAGGGACTTGATTACTTGCATTTATGGCTCCCTAGCAAACAGCTTGCTTGCTCTTTTACTAGCCAATCAGACTGCTGTTTTTGTTTTCAATTTTTCCTGCTGATCTTTCTTTCAAGAAGTATCTTCTGTTTCTCTGGCTGCTCTAGGCTGGTCTGCATGTCCTTTCAAGTGGGAATGGGGGCTCAGGATTACACCTAAGGTCCTATACACTACAAAGGCTCCACAAAAAGCCTAATGCACTGGGCAAGTTCTAGAACCCCTTTTAGTTATTCTAATCAGTTATGGAGTCCTTGTATGGCATTGTGGGTTAATGCGCTTGACTGCAAAGTCGTTTGAACTGCAAGGTTGGCAGTTCAAGCCCACCAGCTTTTCTTTGGAAACCCTATAAAGAGTTGCTATGAGTCGTAAACGACTTGATAGCACTTAGCAACAATCAGTTATAGGCTTACAAATTTTCTGTAATCATGTTTCCCGATATTCCTTTCTATTACACTCAAGTGTCTATTTTACAATAATAGGCAAGGGAAACCAACATTCATAAGACAGGGTATGCCTTGATCCCTGTAACACAGAGCCCTGTCGTTTCAAGGTTGAGCATACATCACTATTTACCTCTGTCCAATTTATCCCACGCAAACCTGCCTAAGTGTTCCCCTATCTACCTTGTTCTTCCATCTCCTCCCTTTTGTGTATTACCCTCCTCAACACCAAGACTATGCTGTGTCTAACCCCTAACCTGTTCTCTACTGTCATCTCCCTCCCACCCTTGGTAGCCAACAAATATTTTTTTTTCCTTTCCTTTAGTATGGGTATATTTTCTTAAGCTTCATATTTTTAATGTTTCCATTGTTCTTGGATTTTCATTTTCTTGATAGATTGTGATGTATTAATTTTCTTTGAGGTTACCCAATATTCTATTAACTTTTTCCTCCATTTAAAACAGTCTATTTCACCCTGAAAACTACCTGACGTCCTCATCACCTGGATCTCTGTTCCTATATTTTTACCTTCTTTCACATTGTAATTGTTTTGATCATAGACTGACATCCCAGATCCTCTGAATTCGTTCGTGTAGTTAGGTTCTGTTCTGGACTCTTTCATCTGTCGATTGAGTTCTGGTGATGTTTCCACGTATGTCAATCTCTGGTTGTTTTCTGTTCTTCTTGGTTCTCAGTCCAAAGAACTCCCTTTAGGATGTCTTTAAGCTCTGTGTTGGCTTTGACAAAATTCCTTAGCTTCTGTTTATCCTGGAGTGTTTTTATTACAGCATTGTATTTGATTGACAGCTTTGCAGAGTAGACAATTCTTGGTTGGCAGTTTTTTCTTTCAAGGTTTTGTATATGTCTCTCCATTGCCTTTTTTGCCTTCATAGTTTCTGCTGAATTTTAATCTTATTTGTTTGCCTTTGTACATTACATTTCTCTTTTTCCTAGCTGCTTTCAGGATTCTCTTCTTATCTTTGATTTTGGAGAGCTTATAATATGTCTTGGTGATTTTCTTTTGGGGGTCTATCCTTCCTGGGGTTTGTTGAGCTTTTTGAATGTTTATCTTTTCGTTTATCAGGATGTTAGGGTAATTTTCTTCCAGAAGCTCTTCAGCTATCTCTTCTGTGGTCTTGTGTGATTCTTCCTGTTCCAGAATTCCAATAATTCTTAAGTTATTCCTCTTCATGTTGTCCCACTTGAATCTTAGACTTTCTTCAGATTTTTTTATCCTTTTTTCTGCTTGCTCTTGTATCTTAGCTTTAAGAGATTTGTTTTCTAACTTTCATCTTTTGAAATCTACTCCTGTGTACTTTCAGTGTGTAGTCCATTTCTGATGTTTTATTATTAATATTTTAGATCTCTTTCTACATGTTTTGAGTAGTTTCCAATGTTATTTTTGTTTTATTTGGTTGTTCCTGTAGTGCATTTCTGATTTCATCCGTATATTTCTCAACCTCTTTATGGATTATTTGGATGCACCTCAATAGCATTCTCCTGAATTCCTTCTCAGACAGTTCCAAAACCTACCTTCCATCCAATGGGAAGTCTAGGTCTACCTGGAACTCATTTGTTTCAGTTACTCTATCTTGTTTCTGGATATGGACTGTCTTTTGGGCATCTTTAATAATTAGATTATTGAAGAGCATTGGCTTTTGATTATATGCTACCTCTTGAAACAGTTGAACATTAACCAGTTTCTTTTGGTACAGTGACTCTGTGTATTCCTTCCATGGCACTATAAGTTGGAACTGGTTCAAAAGCACCTAATAACAACAGTCTGGCCTTAGCATAGTGAAGGCTGAGGTTCAAGTGGTCTGTTAGTTTTTCAACTGATTATTTTCATGCCTGTTTGATTTTATTTACTTTCATTTGCTTTGGATGAGAAGAGACACCTTAGATGGCCATTCATAACCTTTTAAGGCCCTGTTGTTGCTACTCACCAAAGCAGTATGTAGAATATCGTCTTTGTGTACTATGTTATGCCAGTTTACCTTGATGTTCCCTCATATCATTGTCCTGAAGCCAGGATCTGTAACTTATTCCTTCAAGGTGTTTGGTTATGTCTAAGGAGTTTTTATAACTTTGCCCCCTGTATACTCTACAATATTCATAGGTATACTTACAGTGTAGGTAAGTATATATGTAGAAACAGCCCCTGTCAAACTACGTATATATACATACACATACATATACATATTAAGTGCCGTCAAGTCAGTTCTAATTCATAGCAACCCTGTATAGAATTTCCAAGGAGTGGCTGGTGGATTTGAGCCACCAACCTTGAAGTTCAAACCAACATTGCAGTCAAGTGCTTGTCCTACAATGCCACATCAGGATTTCATATATATGTTTGTGAGTTCCGTTCTCCTTCTTCACATCTATTCAGCTTGTGTGTCAATCTGCGTGTTTATTTATAGATTATTGCTATTACTGTTATTTCAGGATTGTATATATAATAGTATTTCTCTGTTGCTTTTAACTCTTGTACTCCCACAAGCATCTTTCTTTGCCTTGATCATTTTTTTTTGCTAACCTCATTTAATGTACATTGCTTTCACCTTCACCAAAGTTAATATCTGTCTACCTTGAACTTGTAGTCCTTGTGTGGCACTATAGGATAAGCACTGGACTGCTGACAACAAGGTCAGCAGCTCAGATCTATCAGATACTCCTCAGAAACCCTAAACAGGGTGTCTATGAGTTAGAACTGATTCAATGGCAGTTAACAACAACCCTTTAATTTTTTACCCTCTCTTTCTGTTCCACCTTATAACCATCAAAGGCTATTTCTTTTCATTTTTCTTTCTTGATGTTTTTATAATGTTGTTAAGGGCTGTCAAGTCAGTTGCAAATCATAGCAACCTTGTATAGGGTTTCCTAGGAACGGCTGGCGAATTTGAATCGCCAACCTTGTGGTTAAAACCAACCTTGCAGTCCAGTGTTTATCCTACAGTGATACACTGGACTCAATTTATAAATAATTTTGTTGTTATCGGTTGCCGTTGAGTCATCATGTCAATTCATACTGACTCTATTATGAACAACAGAACAAAACACTTAAGCCCATTGCCTCTGCTACTGTGTTATCTCATAGTTGTCTTCCAAATTTTTTTGCATAGATAAGTAAGTGCCTCCAGTGCCGCATCAGTTTGTTGGAAGATTTCCATTTATATTCCATCTAATCCCGGTGCCTTGTTCTTTGCCGTGCCTTCAGTACACCTTTGACTTCTTCCTTCTGCTTCATTGGCTCTTGATCACATGCTACCTCTTGAACTGGATGAACATTGACCATTTCTTTTTGGTACAATTACTTTGTGTTTTCCTTTCATCCTCTTTTGATGCTTTCAGTATTTTGCCCATAGGATCCTTCAATATTGCAAGTCAAGGCTTGATTTTATTTATTTATTTATTTTTCTTCAGTTCCCTCAATGTATGGAGCATATTCTTCCCTTTTGGTTTCATAACTCCAGGTCTTTGCACATATCATTATATTACTTGACTTTGTCTTTTCAAACTGACCTTTCAGATTTTCTATTCAGCTCCTTTACCTCCTCATTTCTTCCATTTGCATTAGCATCTCTGCATTGCAGAGCAAGTTTCAGAGTCTCATTTGACATCCATTTTAGTTTTTTCCTTCTTTCTTTTTTTCTTAATGACCTTTTGCTTTCTTCCTTTAGGATGTTCTTGATGTCATCCCACATCTCTCCTGGTCTTTGGTCTTTAGTGCCAAATGCATCAAATCTATTCTTCAGGTGACCTCTAAATTCATATGGAATATGTTCAAGGTCATATTTTGGCTCTAGTGGACTTGTTTTAATTTTCTTCAGCTTCAGCCTGAACTTGCATATGAGCAGCTAATGCTCTGTTCCACAGTCTTTCCCCGGCCTTGTTTTAGCTGATAATATGGGACTTTTCTACCATCTTTTTCCACAGATGTAGTCTATTTGATTTCTGTGCATTCCACCTGGTGAAGTTCCTGTATATAGTCATCTTTTGTGTTGTTTAAAAAAGGTATTTGCAACGAAGAAGCTCATTGGTCTTGCAAAGTTCTGTCATATCTCCAGGATTGTTTCTATCACCAAGGCCTTATTTTCCATTTACTGATCCTTCCTCTTCATTTCAACCTTTGCATTCCAATCGCCAGTAATTAGCAATACATCTTGATTGCATTTTTGATCAATTTCAGATTAAAGAATTTGGTACAGTTCTTCAGTTTAATCATCACTGGTTTCACTGAGTTGGTGCATAAACTTAAATAATAGTGATATTAACTGGCCTTCCTTGGAGGCGGATGGATATTATCCCATCACAGACAGCGTTGTATTCATGACTGATCTTGACAAGTTTTTTGTGGTGATGAATGCAATGCCATTCCTCTTCAATCTGTCATTCTCAGCATATTAAACCACGTGATTGTCAGATTCAAAATGGCCAATACCAGTCCACTTCAGCTCACTAATACATGGATATCAATGCTCATGCATTCCATTTCATTTTTGAGTATTCCCAATTTTCCTGGATTCATACTTCATACATTCTATATTCCAATTATTAATGAGTGTTTTCTGCTGTTTCTCTTCATTTTGAGTTGTGCCCCATCAGCAAATGAAGGTTCCTAAATCTTTACTTCATTTGCGTCATCATGGTCAACTTTACTTTGAGGAGGCAGCTCTTCCCCAGTCGTATTTTAAGTGCCTTCTAACCTGAGATCACTCAAACAGAGTGCCTTCTAACATCTTCTGACACTATATTTGACAATATTATGGTGCTCTTCATCATGTTTCAATATTTAATAATCTGGTGCTGACAGTATTCCACTGCTACTCAAAAGGTTTTCAGTGACTAAATATTCGGAAGTAGTCCATCTCTCCTTTTTCCTAGTCTGTCTTTGTCTGGAAGCTCATCTGAACCTGTCCACCATATGTGACCCTTCTGGTATTTAAAATACCGGTGGCATAGCTTCCAGAATCGCAGCAACATGCAAGCCACCACAGTATGACAAACTAAAAGTGGGGTTTTTTTTGTAATAATGATCTCATATTTGCTTTTTAAGTTTTAAACTTCATTATTCATTATTACTGCTTTTCTCCGGATACCTAATTGTCTTTTAAAGAGGTTAAAAATAAGATAAAAACATTTTTATGTTTATCTCTATATTTATCATTTTCAGTGCTCTTCATTTTATATATTTATTTTGGGGGACTAGATGTCTATTTAGTGTTTTCTTTTGATCTAAACTACTTTGTTTAACCTTTGTGTTTAATATTCTTCAGACACTGTAGGTAGTCAGTAACTGATTAATAAATATTTATTGAGTAAATTTGATTTGTGTTTGTTTTTGCAAGATCATTTGCATATCATAGGTTGTTCATGAATCTTCCTCCAATCCTGATACCACATTTTTCTTCATATAATTCAGATTCTCAGATTGTATGGTCAGCATACAAGATTGAAAAATTATGGTGCATTCGTTTGCTATTGATTTCTGAACTGAAATATTGATCCTAGACCAAATGTAAATTTCAATATAAAGCAAAACTAATACTATTTACAGGATTAAAGACTAGATAATTAATTTTATTTATTTTGTTTCAGTTCCAAAAATTGAGACATGATTTGGAAATGGTATTGTCTGCTATTCAGTCAAAGAATGAAAAGTTAAAGGAAGACTTGGAAAGGTATATTTATGTTATAAAAACCGTTTGCTGTCAAATCGATTTGACTCGTAATGAACCTATGGGACCAAATAGAACTGACGTATAAGGTTTCCAAGGCTGTGATTGTTTTGCTTTGTTTCTTACTTTTTATTGTGAATTGAGTGAAGGCTTCTAAAGCAGATGATCAGATTTTTGTTTTGTGTTTTAATGTTTTATTGTGAATTATTTGATAGTGTACATGGGAGAACATTAGCTTTGCATTCATCCTATCATATATTGTTTCATTGCCATGGTTACAATCCCCTCCATGCATCATCAACCAACCAAAGGGTATACCCTGCAAGTCTGCCTCCTGGTCATCAGCACACAGCCCCACTCCCTCTCTGGGTCTAAAGTGCCCAGCCACTTCATCTTTCCACGTCATCGTCTCTGCCTCTGTCTCTGGTGTCACTGCTTCTCTGGGTAGGGTCCCACTCTCCGCTCTTCTCCCTTGATGGTCCCAGGGACCTCTGCTCCTAGACTGTAAAGTGAATCACTCCCCTCCTTTTGCTACAAAACGTCTACCTTTACATTTCCAATCGTCACAGTCAGTCCTGATAACAGTTATTCACTAATGTACAGATGATCAGTTTTACAGTCAACAAATAATATACTTTATTTCACTTCAAGAATTGCAATTCCCTTGATGTAACATTACTTTCCGTGTTTTTCTTGTTTCCATTCCTCCTTCTTTTCCCAACCATTTTGAACTTTGTCCTTGAATAAATGTTGCCCTTTTGATCTTGAATGGTTAACCATTCTGTGTATGGTATGTGTACCTCACTAGTGTTGTTGTGTCCTAGTGTGTACCTATCTATTGCATGACTGAAAATTTCACTATAGTGAATTAAGTTCCAGACCTGGAGAGTGACCAAAGGCCATAGTTTTGAGGTTCCATTTGTCTCTATTTGACCAGTAAGTCTGGCATTGTTTGTGGGTTTGAATTTTGTTCCATATTTTCTCCCACTTAGTTCAGGACCTTCTAATGTGATGCTTTTCAGAGCAGTTGGTAGTGGTGCCCGGCACCATCTAGTTCTCTGGTTTCAGGTCATGGAGACTGATGTTCCTGTGGTCTCTTAGTCCATTGGACTAATTCCATGCATCTTCAGTTTTCATCACTCTTCTTTCTTCTGGTCAAAGACAGACTACTCATGAGCTTTTAAGATCCCCTTGGCTACTCACCATAGTAGAATGTAGAACATTGTTTTTGTGGATTGTGTTATGCTAATTGACCATGGTGCCCCCTGAGGCTATGATTCTGAGCACCCCCCAGCCCAACGACTCATTCCCTCAAGGTGTTTGGTAATGTGTAAGAAGTTTTCATAACTTTGTCCCTTGGATGTTCCACCATATCCATTGATATGTTTACACCAATGGTAGATACCCAAGTGCAAATATTCTCTGTCATATACTTTGTTAGTATACTCCCACTTTTCTTCCTACACCCATTCAGCCTGAGTATCTATCCATGCATCTAACTGTAGAACAACATAACAGGACTGTATATATATTAGTATTTACCTCTGTGACCTTTTACTCTTACATGTTTCTCCCCATGTTTTCTCCTGCTGCCATAATTTTTTCCCCAACTTCCCTCATGTTGTATATTGCCTTCCCCTGTGACCAGGAGACCTGGTGTGGTTAAGGATAAGCACTGGACTTCTAACCTCAAGATCGGTCATTCAAACCCACCAGCTGCTCCTTGGAACCCTCTACAGGGTCACTGTGAGTTGGAACCCACTGAGTGGCAACTAACAACAACACGGTTAGGACTATTACAGAAGCAGCTGGTGAATTCGAACCATCAGTCTTTGGGTAGCAGCTAATTGCTTTAACCCTGGCACCACCAGTTATTTTTCATTAATATTGTTGTTGTTGTTGTTGTTGTTAGGTGCCATCGAGTCGGTACCAACCCATAGCAACCTTATGCACAGTAGAATGAAACACTGCCCAATCCTTGGCCAACCTTACTACTGTTTCCACACTTGAGCCCATCAATGCTGCCACTTTGACAATCCATCTCGTTGGGGATTTTCCTCTTTTTCTCTGACATTCCACCTTATCAAACATGACATCCTTTTCCAGTGACTGGTCCCTCCTGACAATATGTACAAAGTATGAGAGATGAAGTTTGGCCATCTTAGCTTCCAAGGAGCACTCTGGCAGCACTTCTTCCAAAACAGATTTATTGGTTCTTTTGGCAGCCTATGGCATTTTCAGTATTCTCCTCCAACACTGTAACTTTCTGAGAGCCTGCCCCGGCATATTTATTCCAGGGTTTTTTCCGAAGACGTGTGCAGACGTCGGCGATTAAGGGATTACACGGAGTCATGGGTCATGATAAATTCAAAATCTTCTTATTACATGCTTTATTATTATTATTTCTATGGCTACTCTAATACTTTACTTCTCTCATTCTTTACTGTCCTGCTCATTCTTTACTCCCCTGCTCTCCTGCTCATCTCTTCTGCTTCCTTTCTCCCCTCCCCTGCTCCTGTTTTCCTTCTCTCCTCTCCTGCTCCCCTCCTGCTCATCTCTTCTGTTTCTTTTCTCCCTTCCGCTCCTTCCATTTCTTTACTGTCTCCTTCTCTACATTACTCTTTTTCTTTCTACACTACTACTCCTAATTATCTACATTACTACTTTCACTACTCCACTCCCCTGCTTCTTCTTTACATTACTCCCTCTATCCTCCCTCCATTCATGTCTTGTCTCCTCTCCACCTCATATTCCTTCTTCTCTCCCTATTTCTTTCTGCTTCTACTTACTTCTCTCACTCTTGCTTCTACATCTCTTACCTCTCTCCTTTTTTCTACTCCTTTCTTCTACTTACTCTTACCTCTACTTCTTGCCTCTATTCTTACTTACCTCTACTTCTACTTACTTCTACTTCTTTCTTCTACTTCCTTTCTTCTACTACTTTGTTCTATCTTACAACCCCCTTGTATACCATTACAGAAAACATTGCATTCATAGTAATCAATGACATCATGGTACAATCTATCTTGGGGCACATTCCTCATAGTTTACAATTCTTAAATTTACAACAGGGATGAGAAGTTACAGCAAAGACATTATCTCAAGGCATAGGAGACATGCGCCTTGAAACCTTTTAGTTAAACATTTGTTCCTACATAAATCTGTTCTTTTCTCTGAGAAGCAAGTTAACCTTTACATGTTTCTTCACCTATGTTAGTCAAACCTTAAGCCATCAAGCCTAATTGTCAGGTGCAATTTACACTTCTTTAACTTCCTCCTACAGAAACATCCCTTCTTAGGAAAGCTGAGGCTTATCAAAACAATTCCCCTATTTTACTGATCAGACTTCTTATTTATATAACTGTAGATTCTCACAACCCTTATCTATAGTCTAATTATTTTTTTGAAATTCTTGTACCCACAGGACTTATTTATGGTCTGTTCACATTTAGGATTCTTTATTACCTTAAACTAAGGCTATAAGGAAGAATGTTTACAATCACTAAACCTAAGCTGGCAGTAATTCATATTGACAAATCCTGTCTCCTAGCAGTCTTAAGAACATTGTTAATATAAGTATTAAAACTACCTATGATTCCAAGTAGAATAAAATGTAGCTAATGTGTGGCTTCTAACTTTTAATGAAAATATACTAAAGTGTAGGAGAGTCAAAAATCTAAAGTAAAAGGGATACTAATAAAATCATGAATAAATCAGAGAATGATTTAACAAGAGAAAAATTTAACTAGGGGTCTGTGCATAAAAAATAATAAAACAACTTTTTATGGCTCTGCCATCCAAAGAGAAAGAAAAAGAAAAGAAAATAGTTCATTGTTGCTTTGCAAAAACAATGAATTCTTCATGCGCAGTTCCCCCATGTCGCATTTCTTTATTTCCATTCCTCAATTAATATGTCTCAATTTCTTCATTTTAATTCCTTAATTAATTATGGCTGTTGCCAGTAACTCAAAAGCATCAATTCTTCTGTGGTCTTCCTTATTCACTGTCCAGCTTTCACATGCATATGAGGTTATTGAAAATACTTAGTCCTCAAGCTGACATCTTTGCTCTTCAATACTTTAAAAAGGTCTTGTGCAGCAGATTTACCTAATGCAATACGTCGTTTGATTTCTTGACTGCTGCTTCCCTGAGTGTTGATAGTTGATCCAAGAAAAATGAAGTCCTTGACAACTTCAATATTTTCCCTGTTGATAATAATGTTGTTTATTGATCCAGTGTTGAGGACTTTTGTTTTCTTGACATTGAGATGTAATCCATACCTAAGACTGTGCTCTTTGATCTTCATCAGTAAATGTTTTAAGTCCTCTTCACTTTCAACAAGCAAGGTTGTATCATCTGCATATCACAGGTTGTTACTGAGACTTCTTCCAATTCTGATGCCACATTTTTCTTTATAGAACCCATCTTCTCAGATGATTTGCTCAGCATCCAGGTTGAATAAGTATGGTGAAAGAATACAACCTTATCGCACACCTTTTTAAATTTTTTTTATTCAGTGTTCCCATGTTGTGTTTGAACATTAATGTTCAATTGCAGTTAATATTTATTTGTCTTCTGTTTGTTTTTTCTTCAATGTTTAAAGGGAGCAACAATGGTTGGATGAACAAGAACAGATACTGGGATCTCTTAATACATTACACAATGAACTGAAAAATCAGATTGTACCATTTTCTGAGTCAAGGTATTAATTTTGTGCTCTTTGTTTTTAAAACAGGAGAAAGGATTTTTTTAGTTTTACATTATAGGAAATCATGGTTAGAAAGAAGATAATTTTTACCAGAAATCATGAGTCTTGTCCTAATATTTGCCAGTTAATAGTTAGTCTTTTTCAATTATATAACTTGATTGTACTGTAAGTTTTCCTGTTAGAGAGAAGTACTTGTATGATGCTGTAGGATAAGCACTGGACTGCTAACTGACAGGTTGGCAGCTCAACCCCACCAGCCACTCCTTAGAAACTCTATACAGGGTCATTCTGCGTCAAAACCCACTCAAAGGCACATAAGAACAACTTGTGTTAGATAGTGCTATTTCACAGAGCAAGTTATTTGGTTTAAGTGGCGAAGTTTCAACAAAGTTTTTGATCAACTTTTTGAATAGCCATTTACTTGTGCATATATATTTTATCAGCTAAATACTTCTCTTATTTTTTAATTTACTAGAGTCTTGAATGAGTTGAAAACTAAAATGCAAAGTATAAAAGAATATAAGGAGAAGCTTTTGTTGACCTTGGGTGAATTTCTAGTAGACCATTTTCCTCTGCCTGATGAAAAAGTTAAAAAGAAAAAGGTAAGTTTTAGAGCATATATTAATGTAGAAGATGCATGTTTGAATTTCTTTCAGTTAGTTTCAAAAGGAAACGTTCTGATGTATTTTTGTATATTTACTATGCACATCTAAGGTATACCCATATAGATAGATACATAGACAGAACTATTCCTGCATCACATTATAATGTTTACTGAAAAATTAAAATCTATTATATGATAAAATGGGATTAAATTTATTTTTGTATTGTATTCGTAAATGGAAAAATATGTAGCTTTTAAAGATGTTCTCAACACTCGTTATTGATAAAATACTCATAATTTATTGTCAAATGAGTTAAAAACAGATGATAAAATTTTATCAGTCTAATTTTTACAAAAAAAACATAACAGTATATTTTGGGGTGAGATTAAAGGCAAGATATATTTTCTTTTTGTTTTTCACTATTTTCCTTGATAAATTTATGTAACTTTTAAATAAGAATATTATTTAAAATAACTTAATTAATTGTAAATTAACCATTCTTTTATTGGAATCTCACGTTTACTGAGTTGTGGCATAAAGTATAGACATTGTATGCCAAAATTGCCTAGGGTAGTTATTTTCAGTCCTTTTGAAGAAATCTTGATATGTATGACCTAGTTAAAAATCTTGTGGAACTCCAAATTCTATAAAGCATACGTTTTAAATACCTGTCTGTTCTTAAGTGCTCTTTCCTTTATCATGCCTGATACTGATAATTGTTCTTTCTTGAAATTATCAATTTTACTAACCCTTTCAAGAACCAAGTTTAGCTTTGTTTATTTTCTCTATTACTTATATTTCCTATTTAATTATTTCTTTGAGTTTAATTGATTTTTTTGTAACTTGTTGAAACAGATGCTAGACTGCTCATTTTAAACTTTTAGTATTCTCTAAAATATGCTTTCAAAAGGAGCCCTGATATTGTAGAATAAGCATTGTACAGCTAGCTGCAAGTGTGACAGTTCAAATCTGCTGCTGCTTCATGGCAGAAAGATAGGGCTGTCTGCTCCCATAGAAAGATTGGCAGTCTCCAAAAGGGCCATTTTGAGTTAGAACTGACTCAATGGCAGTGAGGTTATTTCGTTGATGTATATTAATATGTATAAATTAAATGACTAAATTTCCCTCTAATTTCACTGTATTATCTACTGTCAAACAAATTTTGATGTGTTTTCATCATCTTTAAGGTAAAAAACATTTTCTAATTTGTTTTGTGATTTCTTCTTTGACTCATGGTTATTTAAAGTGCATTGCTTCATTGTTGTAAAGTGCTTGATTAATTTACATTAATTTGGGTAAAGAAGTAGAAGACATTGTTATTTAAATTTGCAAATAATATAAAGTTAAAAGTACTAGATCGCCTCTCATACTTCAGACATATTGTCAGGAGAGACCAGTTGCTGGAGGAGGATATCGTGTTTGGTAAGGTGGTGGGTCAGAGAAAAAGAGGAAGACCCCCAGTGAGGTGGATTGGCTAAGCGGAAGCATCGATGGACTCAACTGTGGCAATAGTAGTGAGGTTGGCCTAGGAAAGGGCAGTGTTTTGTTCTGCTGTGCATAAGATCGCTATGAGTCGGTACCAACTTGATGGCACCTAACAACAACAACAAAAGTACTAGATAGTAAATATATTAGATGACAGATTCAGGACTATCATTTTAGCTTTCCCCGAACTGAACCAAATAAAATAGGATAATGTTTTGTAGACATATATAAAATATCTCTCTTGGGTGTAAAATGTTAACAGAAGTAGGGAGACATATCTTAGATGTTGTTGTTATTAAATGCCATTGAGTCGGCACTTAAAAACACTGTACAGGGTTTCTGAGGCTTTAAATCTTTGCAGGAGAAGAAAGTTCATCTTTCTCCCTCAGAGAAACTGGTAGGCTCAAACCACCCACCTTATGGTTTGAAGTTCTGTGTTTATCGTATGGAGCCACCACACTCATATCTTAGTTGTTGTTGTTGTTAAGTGCCGTTGAGCCAGTTCTGACCGATAGCAACCCTGAACAGGGTTTCCGAGGCTGTAATTCTTTACAGGAGCAGAAAGCCTCATCTTACTCCCACAGAGCAGCTGGTAGTTTCAAACTGTTGACCTTGTGGTTCACAGCCCGATTCGTAACCACTTAGAGAGCTGTATAAAAAGACTTTCTCATCTTAAATAATAGTCTCCTCACATAGGACTCGCGATCATTGTGGAGATTAGATTTTTAAAAAGAAAAGAAAGACAACAACCATGATATCAAGGGACCTGCAAATCTATGGCACATGAAAATTGAAGGAACCAATGATAATTAATATGGAGAAGAGAAGAGTTGGGACTCTGAATGTTGTTGTTGTTAGAATACATTTATTCTTTATTATCCCAAGGAAAAGAATCAGTGAATGGAGTTAACATGAGAAACTGTCATGAGCTGTAGAAAGAAGTACAAGGTTCCCTAGGAAGCAAGTTCCTTCTCCTGTTACTACATAAATATTCTCAGATGTTATTTGTTTGCATAATTTTTGCTGGGAGTTTCAAACACTGCATTTTCTCTTATATGCTGATGTGGTGCTTGGGATAAAGCACTGGACCAGAAGGTTGGTTTGAACCATAAGGTCGGCAGTTCAAATGTACCAGCTACTCCTTGGAAACCCTATGAGTGGGAACCCACTCCATAGCACTTAACAACAACAGCAGCAATGTATAGAATATAACTTATCTATTATGTTTATGGAGTCCTGGTGTGGCACTGTGGGTTAATGTGCCAGTCTACAGAGCTGTTTGAACTGCAAGGTCAGTGGTTCAAGCTCACAAGCTGCTCCTTGGAAACCCTATAGAGGGTCACTGTGGGTCGGAACCGACTCGATGGCACTTAACAACAGCAATTATGGTTATCGTTTTAATTGTATCTTCTAATAATTGTAAATTTATTGTCATAGAGGTAGTTTCAATTTCTTTTTTTTTTTTTTTACTGTTAAATAGATTGTTTACTTTCCAAATTATTTTTTAACCATCTAAGTGTTCTATTTTAGTATACTTTTATCTTAGTTGCATAATGCCATCATGTGATAGTTGAAGGTTTTGTGTCAACTTGACTGGGCCAGGATTCTCAGCGTTTTAGCAGTTGATATAGTTTGATATGATAAAACCAATAAGAGGATAAGAGCATGATGTTGTTGTTAACTGCCATGGTGAATGGTAGGTTTGAACCGCTAACCTTGTGGTTCAAACCAATTTTACAGTCTAGTGCTTATCCTACAGTGCCACAGTGCCACACCAGGACTCCAAAGTGTGATGTTAAGTGCTATATATATAGTCAGTTCCTACTCACAGCGACCCTGTATAGGGTTTCAGAGGAGTGGCTGGTGAGCTTGAACCACCGACCTTGTGGTTCAAATGACTTTGCAGTCCAACGAATTAGCCCACAGCGCCACACCAGGACTCCAAGAGTGTGGCATACAATACCTTTTATCTTACAAGAGATAAAAAGAGAGAGACTTGAGTATAGAATGGTGGGTGTCTACTTCCACCAAGATAGAAGAGCCAGGAGTGGAGTGTGTCCTTTGTATCTGGGGGTCCCTGCACTGTGAAACTGCTAGAAGACTGATGTCAAGATGTACGGAGAATCCTGGGCCTACAAATCCTGAAAGGAGACAAGGAGCTTTGCCCAGAGATGACAAAGAGGAAGCCTTCCCCAAGAGCCAACACTCTGAATTTGTACTTCTAGTCTCCTAAACTGTGAAAGAAGAAATTTCTAGTTGTTAAAGTCATCCACTTGTGGCATTTCTGTTTGTTATGGCATTATTAGATAACTAAGCAAACACCATGGAGTCCTGGTGTGGCGTTATGGGGTAATACGCCAGACTGCAAAGCCGTTTGAACTGCAAGGTCCATGATTCAAGCTCACCAGCTGCTCCTCGGAAACCCTATACAGGGTCGCTATGGGTCGGGATTGACTCGATGGCACTTAACAACAACAACAAAACAAGATAACACCATAGTGAAGCATACCACAAGTAGGTTGCTTTAACGAACAGAAATTAATTTTGTCTTCATGCTGGAATCATAAAGTCCAAATCAAGGTCTTGACTGTCGATTCCATCATGGGCCTCTCCTAGTTTCTGGTTAAGTACCATTAATAATTGGCATTCAATCTTTCCTAGTCTGTATTTTTAGTGTATTCTGCTCTTTTTATAACTCAGAAGAGATTAGGTTTAGAACCCATCCTACTGTGGTATGGCTTCATTATCATAGCAAAAGGAAACCTCTACTTTCAAACGGAATCATATTTATAGGTGCTCACTACCATCAAGTCATATTTATAGGTGCCCTATCCATACGATAACTGGACTAAGATCCACAAGGTCAGTGGTTCAAGCCTGCCAGCCACTCCATAGGAGAAAGATAAGGCTTTCTCCTTATGCAAAAATTTGTTGTTGTTGTTGTTGTTAGGTGCGTCAAGTCAGTACTGACTTATAACAACCTTATGCACAACAGAAAGAAATACTTCCTGGTCCTGCACCAACTTCACAATCAGTGCTATGCTTGAGCTCAATGTTTGCTGTCAATCCATCTGGTTGCGGGTCTTCCTCTTTTTTGCTGACCCTCCTCTTAGCCAAGCATGATGTCCTTTTCCAGGAACTGGTCCCTCCTAATAATATATCCGAAGTATGATAGATGAAGTCTGGCCATCCTGGCTTGTAAGGAGCATTCTGGCTGTACTTCTTCCGACACAGATGTTTTTGTTTTTCTAGCAATCCATGGTATTTTTAATATTCTCTTCCAATACCATAACTCAAATGTATCAGCTCTTCTAAGGTCTTCCTTATTCATTTAACACCTTGGAAACCCTATACAGGGTTGCCATGAGTCAGAACCGACTCGACTTACTTAATATTAACCACAACAACTGCCATCAAGTCAATTCCGACTCATATCAACCCAGTAGGACAGAGTGCAACTGCCTCTGTGGATTTTCAAAGCTGAAAATCATTACGCGTCAGACAGTCTCATCTTTCTCCCTCAGAATGGCTGGTGAGTTCAGTCAGCCTTTTAGTTCACATTTCCGTAGCCCATTATACCACCAAGGCTCCTTATTTATAGGTATAGTGGTTAGGATTTCAACACTCCTTTTAGGGGAACACAGTTCAGTCCCTAACCATCTTGTGGTTTTGCAATTAAATATAATTTTTGAAATATTTGAAGAAATGTAGTCTACAATGTCTGTAAGACTTTTAGCCACAATTAACAAGAACTTCACCTCTTAAAAATTTTTAATCAAATAGAGTCTAATACTCTACCCTTGGTAGATTTGAAATATTAATTATTTGTGTTGACATTTCTTACAAAGGAAAACATTCAAGACCAGCCTGCACAGCTGATATCACTACGTGACATGCTAGAGGTAAGTGTTTTGTGTAGTTTTCCCCATCTGTCTTTAAGATTTCTCTTAGTGACTTGTGAACAATTAGAAGTGTTATCAGTTGCTTTGAAGTTGACCAACTCATAGAGACTTCATGTTTGTCAGAGTAGAACTGTTCACCATAGAGTTTTGTTGTTTTGTTTTTAAATTTTTAATTGTGAACTGAGTGAAGGTTAACAGGACCATCAGCTTTACTTTCAACCAATTATACATTTTGTTTCCACCCTGTAGCTTCCCTTTTACCTCTTATTTTTCACAAATCAACAAAGCAAAAATATTTGATGTACACATACAAAACAAAAAAATATATATTCACTTAAATGTCGAAAGGGCACATTTTGCAGACCAGCCTCCTGCCTGCAGGCACACAACACAGCCTTTGTCAGTCAGTGAGCCTAGAGTTTGCAGCTGCTCTATCTCTCCACGTCTTTGTCTCTGCCAGCATCTCTACTATCACCACTTTTTTAGATAGGATCTCACGCTCCACTCATACTTATCCTTCTTGATGGTCCTGGTATCCTCTTTCCCAAAGTAAAAGATTAACTACTGCCCCCTTTTAGTTATACATCTTCTACAAGTACAGTTGTGATGATTGCAATTAATCCTGTTACCAATTACTCACAATTTAATCATAAAATTCTATCACCATTATTCCCCATCACCTTTCACCAGATCCATCTGGAAAAGAGGAAAACTATTTATTGCGGATTCTGTATCACTCCCCTCAGTATGAAACAAAGCACACTCATGAAGCTTGTAAGCTTCTTGCCTTTATAGACCCCCATTTTTGATAACCAATGTCCAAATTGCCTATCCCTCTCAATCCAGTACACTGAGAAAACAAGCTTGATCCTTGATATGAAGAATCCTTCCATTTCAGTTAGAATGTTGAGCAACTGCATCCATAAGCAAAGGTCCAGTTCATCGAATTGTAGAAATTTATACTTGCTTACAGTGTCATGTGGAGTCCTGGTATGGTGCTGTGGGTTTATGTACCAGACCGCAAAGCTGTTTGAACTGCAAGGTCGGCAGTTCAAGCTCACCACCTGCTCCTCAGAAACCCTATACAGGGCCACTATGGGTCAAAACTGACTTGACGGCACTTAACAACAACAGTATCAAGTATTTTTATCTTCATCTTTTTGAGTTCTGGTCAGCTAGTCATCCAAGCTAGGTCAATGGGTAGGTACCACCTGCAAGTTTGGGAGTTCACGACGCCTCCTCTTACTTCAGACCAGTTGGCTGCTTCACTCTTGTCTCAGTGGCTAGGTCAGTGCCTGTGGGCTTGGGAGTTCACACATCTCCATTAACTTCAGACCAGCCAGCCCTTCTCTTTTATCATCTCAAGGTCAATGGATGTCAGTGGAACATGGCCAAACTCAGCCCGTGTCTTCATTGCTCTGTTTCCACCAGGGTGGTCACCAGCGAGAATACTGGATTGCTCCCGGGTTCCCTTTGGTTTCAGTCTTAGAAGGGGGTTTTCCCTGACGAGCTGACTTTCCTTGCCTAGATGCCTACAAAGGAAACAGCTTGCTTGATATTCTAACAACCAAACAATCGGGGGTTTTTTGTGTTTTGTTTTGTTTTGTTTTGTTTTCAGGTCTTTCTTCCCATAAGAATCTTCTGTTCTCCCAACCATTCTGGGTTGGTCTGCATGTCTCGTCAAGTGGGAATGTCCCACTTTAGAAACTTCTGTGTAGGGCTCAGGATTCCACCTAAGGCTCCTTACTCCACAAAGGCTTAACGAGAAGCCTATTTCCCTGGGCAAATTTGAATTCCCCTTTTTGCTACTCAAATCGGTTATAGGGTGAAGATTGGCTTATATGCTTTTTATAATCATAATTCCCAGTATTGACTTCTATCATACTTACTTGTCTATTTACAATAGTAGGCAGGGGAAACCAATATCCACAACGCAGTCAAGCACCTAAAATTTCCCCCCTTTTTTATCCCTTCAGACTATGTCTCAATCTCTGAGTCACAGAACATTGTTGTTCCAAGGTTGTGTATAAATCACTGTTTACCTCTATCCTATCTATCCCTTATCTTCTGTAGTCATTGTTCATCTACCACCCTCCCTCTTGTGTATTGTCCTCCCCAACACCTGACCTAACATGTGTATACTCCATAACCTGTGAATTAATCTCCTCTCCCTGGTAACCATCAAAGAATGTTTCTTTCAGTATGGAAATATTTTCTTAAGCTACTCTGTGTCTTCACTGAGCCATAGTGTCTTCAATGGCTATTTTTGGTTTTGCTTTTGATTGTGAATTGAGCGAAGGTTTATCGAGCAGATCATCAGTTTTACATTCAATATATCATACACTTGAACAGATCACAAACTCCTCTATGTAACACCAGTTATCCCACTTCCTCCCTGTGATTTTTGTTGCCATTCCATCCTCCTTCCCAATCTTTTTCCTTAGGTAAATACTACCTTTTTGATCTTGAATGATTGACTATTTCAAGTGAGCTTATTTTACTAGTGTTGTTATATATTGCCTTCCCTCATCCAAGAATGGTTCTGTTAGTATGAAAACGTTTTCTAGACTTTTTACAACAGTGGTCTCATGTGATGACTGGTTGTTTTTTTAAGGGCTTCTAGTCCTTTCTTCTCAGGCACTTCCTTGTTGACTTAAACCACCATCCTCTTGGTTAGTAACTAAGCTCATTAAAGGTAGTTTGGTGACTCTAGTTAAGTGCTTAACTGCTAATCAAAAGGTCTGTAGTTCAAACTGATCATCTGCTCCACAGGAGAAAGAGATGGCAGTCTGCTTCCATGAAAATGACAGCCTTGGAGCCCCTATGGTGTGGTTCTACTCTGTCCTATAAGGTCATTAGGAATAGTGGTGTTGTTGTTGTTAGGTGCCATCGAGTCAATACTGACCCATAGCGACCTTAGGCACAGCAGAACGAAACACTGCCTGATCCTGGGCCAACTTCACTACTGTTTCCACGCTTGAGTCCATCAATGCTGCCACTTGACCAATCCATCTCGTTTGGGGGTCTTCCTCTTTTTCTCTGACTCTCCACCTTACCAAACATGATAACCTTCTCTAGGGACTGGTCCCTCCTGACAATATGTCCGAAGTATGAGAGACACAGTTTGACCATCTTGGCCTCCAAGGAGCACTCTGGCTGCACTTCTTCCAACACAGATCTGTTGGTTCTTTTGGCAGCCCATGGCATTTTCAGTATTCTCCTCCAACCCTGTAACTGAAAAGCATCAATTCTTCTAGGGTCTTCCTTATTCACTGTCCAGCTTTTGCATGCATATGAGGTGATTGAAAATACCATGGCTTATGTCAGGCACACCTTAGTCCTCAAGCTGACATCTTTGCTCTTCAACACTTTAAAAAGGTCATGTGCAGAAGATTTGCTAATGCAATACGTCGGATGACTAGTAGTTGGCTCAAAAGCAACAAGTTTGATTTTGAGCACATTAGCAATTGTACTACCCAGGGACTTTGCACACAGGCTTGAAAAAGAAAAGATACTGTTTTAGATCTTAAGGTATCCATAAATCTTTTACAAATATCTCAAAATAATTTATCATTAGTATAAAATGAATTTCTGTAAATTCTGTAAAGAATATTGTTACTTTTTCAAAGAACCTAAAATTAAAATCTAATCCTTAATCATATTTCCAATATTTTATAGGTGAACACCATAAAATATATTCATGAAATTATTTAATATTTACATGGTAAAATACAACATACTTAATGGAATGTGTAGTTGGCACTATGTAAGTGAGCTTTAGTATTCTTTCCACAAACTTAAAATTTGTGCATGTCAGATCATTTTTCATATTGTAAGACCTGAATAATTTTTTGCTCTACATTCACTTTCTTTTACAAATAGCCATGTTGTTGTTGTTAAGTGCCGTCGAGTTGATTCCAACCCATAGCGACCCTGTACAGGGTTTCCAAGGCTGTAAATCTTGACGTGAGTTGAAAGTCTCATCTTTCTCCCGCAAAGCGGCTGGTAGTTTCGAACTGCTGACCATAAGGTTCTCAGCCTGATTCGTACCCACTACGCTACCAGAGCTCCTTACAAATAGCCATAACCTTTAAAAAAAATAAAAATCTGAACTTTTGCAAATTATCAAATATATTATATTAAGTACTTCAGAAGAACTTGATATGGCCAATTCCAGGCAAACTGTTCAAACCATAATTAAACAATTAACCTGTTTTGGGTAAAAAACTTCATTAATGTTTTATTATAGCTGTATCAACTTTTTTCCCAAGTAAAATGTATTTCTGTTTATTTTTCCTAGATTCTCATGAATAGATTGTTTGATGTTCCATATGATCCATATGTCAAAATTAGTGATTCCTTTTGGCCGCCTTATATTGAACTCCTGTTGCGTAATGGAATTGCCTTGAGACATCCAGAAGATCCAAACCGAATAAGATTAGAAGCCTTCCACCAGTAAAGGAATGTGATGACATTCTTTTCATGTAATCTTAAAGAAGAAGCTTGTCATTGAAGAATAATAGAAATGCGAAGGACTCTTTGGATAAAGAACATTATGTTCAAGTCAAAGCCCATAGCCATTTTCCTTTTATTCTTAAATGACACCTGCTGCCATCTGTTCATTTTTAAATGTTTTATTTCTCATTCAGTCAGTGCCTTCATGTTTTAAACTGTATGGACAAAAATGAAAATAAAAATTATTGTAGACTAAACTGCTATAAAGCATATAATGTACCTTATTTCATGTGATATTATTTGGAAAATGCTGCCCGTGTATTTTTCTCCATAAATTTATAACAATTTCTTCTATGCATTTTGAATTCCATTTGGTACTTAACTCCTTCACATATAAGAAATGTAATAGAAAAGTCATTTAATTTGCAAATGGTTTTAAAGCTGAAGAAGTAGTATTTGACACAGAAGGCAGAGTTATAGTCATTCATATTGCTTTGTAGATTTGTTAAACATTAGATGGCAACTAATGAATAAAGCTAGTATACAGTGTAATTTAATGTGCATTATATACTAAGCAATATTATATATTTACTACTCTTGATTTTGCTGATTATTAACAAAATTGTGTTTATAACATTTTGTTAATCCTTTGTGAATTTTCTGTAAATAAACTTCTCTCATCTAAAGACTGTAAACTTTTCGTGGTACAATATTTTTGTTAATATAATAGATTGTTCATAAGTAGATAAATTATTATAGGACTCATTCAGGATTGCATCCAAGCTTAAGTGGAGAATTATAAGCCCTGTTACTATCATAATTAGTCCTTTGAGGGGACTTTATGTAGAAAAAGCACCTACTGTACTATTGATCTTTGAATAATGTGGAGGTTAGGGACATTCACCACCTCCACCACCACCCCTACCCCCCCAGGCAGTAAAAATATTTGCTTATAAATTTTGACTTCCCAAATATCTTAACTACTAATAGCTAACTTATCACCAGAAACCTTACCAATAACAGATATATCAATTAACATTTTCTATGTTATATGTTGAAGTCCTGGTATGGCACTGTAGGATAAAACACAGGACTGCAAGGTCAGTTTGAACCACCCATATAAAAGCTGTATTTTCAATATAAGATAAAAAGGTCTTTCATAAACAGCCTGGTTTTCATATGCTGATCTAGCTGCAGCAGCAACAGCTTCATGAATGCCTTTATTTATTTACTTATTTTTACAGTAGTCCTTATGCAGGACTCAGTTATCTTGAAATGATGGGCAACTGTAGCTAAAGACCCTTATCTATGGCACATAGTAAGCAGTTCAACTTTTTCTTGTAATGTCATAACTCTCCTCTGTATCTTGGGAACATTTTCAGCGTCGCCAGTGACACTTCAGATAGGTCCCATGATGTTATTCAAGGTTTACGGCATTGCACGAAGCCAGAAAAGGATGCAAGAACCACAAGAGATCACTTTCATTGCAATATGCAATTTGCTGGGGAGATTAAGTGCTACACTCCAGACCCTTGTTGTTCAAGAGTCAACTGTATAGCATCCAGGTTTCTTGCTTTGTCTTTTTTAGGGAAGTAAATAATCTTTCCTAGTGTGGTGCTGTAAGATAACCACTGGACTGTGGTTAAGGTAAGCAGTTCAAACTTACCAGTTATTCCTCGGAAACCCTAAACAGAATCACTGAGTCAGAACTGACTTGACGGCACTTAACAACAAACAACAAATAATCTTTCCAGTACACCGTGCCCTTTCTGTAGAAAATACAAACACTACTGTGCTTTAGAGAATGTAAGTTCTCTTAGGGCAGAGGCCCCCACCTCTTTTATTCTACAAAGCGCCATTAGGTATTTGTAACATCATTCATGGACCATCCAAAATTATCAATTTAAAAATTGGCCTGCTATATTTGGTCAAACATTTAATTGAGACAGCCCAAGGACTGGACGGTCCTCACCCCAGACTTAGGGGAAGAAGTACCCTCTTAGAATACTTATGTTGGGAGTTTAAGTGATGATTAACTTTTTATTTCTTGAATCTTCTGGAAAGGCAAGAAATGGTTAAGACGGTGAACCTGGCAGTAACTCTTAGGAGCAGGTTGCACTGTGTTCCTTGAACTCCGTTTTGCAGATTAGAGAAAGAAATGGATAAAGGCAGTAAGTGATTTATCCAGCAAGTCTTTATGTTTTACCGGGAAATCTACTTATTAAGATATTTTCTGAGGGGTTTTTTTTTTTTTTTTTTTTTGTGCTAGTGGCAAAGTTGTTAAAACACTTGACTGTTAACCAAAAGATGGATGACTTGACCCACTAGCTGCTCCATGGAAAATAATTATGGCAGTTTGCTTCCATAAAGATTTTAGCCTTGGAAAACTCTATATCATCTCTGCCCTATAAGATCCCTGTAAGTTGAAATTTACTTGATAGTAATAGATTTAGCTTATAAAAGGCTCTAAAGATACATCCTACTTTAATTCATTAACCCAGAATTCATACAGAATCCTGTATGAATTAACCCAGAATTTGCCCACTTTTGATCTCAGAATAAAGTAAATTATAGTAGAATTACTCTTGATTTGTAATACATTTTAGCTTATAATTGAGTCTTGGTGTGGCACTGTGGGTTAATATGCTGGACTGCAAGGTCTGTTTGAACCACAAACAGATGGTTCAAGGTCACCAGTTGATCCTAGGAAACCCTATACAGGGTCACTATGCGTCGGAACTGACTTAACACTTAAGCTTATAACTGAAATCCTTCTGTGGTTTTGAAATGTTTGAGGATCTGTGTCAAGTGTAGACAACCTATATCTGTCTTCAGTTTTTACTGATTTAAGAAAATCAGTGAAATTTATTTAGATGTGGAATAGATCTGTTTTTTGGGTTGTTTTTTTTTTTTAAGTTTTTATTGTAAATTGAGTGATAGTTTACATGGGGGGGACATCAGTTTTACATGCATAATTTCTTTGCAATGATTGCAATCTCCTCTGTGCATCATCATTCATCAGTATTTGTTACTATTTCCTCTTTTTGTTTTGTTTTGTTTTTTGGGGGGGATGTACAACAAACACTCAAGAATATATAATCATTTAAACAACCAAAGGACACATTCTGTAAGCCTGCTTCCTGGCCACCAGCACCTGGCTACCAGCACACAGCCTTTCTCTTTTCATGAGTCTAGACTCCTCAGTTGCTCTCTCCATGTCCTCATCTCTGTCTTCATCTCTGGTGTCACTGCTTCTCTGGCTAGGGTCCTACATTCTGCTCATGCTTTTTTCCCTTGATGGTCCTAGACAGTAAGTTTAACTACTCCCCTCTTTTTGTTACAAAATTTCTACCTTTACTGTTGTGACAGTCACAATTAGTCATGATAACAACTACTCACCATTGAATCATAAGAATCTTATCCCCATCTCCTTTCACCAGATGCATCTAGACAAGATGAAAACAATTCAGTGGGGAGTCTACTTCTCCCTGCACTCTGAAACGAAACTCCCTCTTGAAAACTTGTAAGCCAGCCACTTTGTGCCTTTATAACCCCCCACCCCCATTTTAAGTAGCCAGTGTCTAAGTTGCCCATCTCTATTAACCCTGTGTGTACAGGTGATATGTTTGATCCTTGATGTGAAGACTCCTCGGTTGGTATTTTGAGCTACTACATCTACTACCTATACGTAAGTATAGGTCAAGTTAATAAAATTGTAGCAATTTACACTTGTTTCCTGTTTGGGGCTTCCTTGTGCATCTCCCCTCACTTCACATCAGCTGGGTGCTTTGCTCTCAGCTCCAGCCCTCAGTGGCTATGTCCTTGTCCATGGGCTCAGGAGTCTACAGGTCTCACAACACTTCAGACCAACCAACACTTACTCTTCTCTCTTTCATCTCCAGCTCAATGGGAGTCTATGGAACATGGTTGAACTCAGCTCATATCTTCATTGCTGCCTTTCCCCCTCTTCCACTCACCAGGAGCCCAACATGGTCACCAGCAAGTTTACATGACTGCTCATGTGTTCCTTTTGAGTTTCAGTCTTGGAGGGAGGTTTGTCCTGAAGGGACTTGATCTCTTGCCTTGATGGCTCCACAGCGAACAACTTGCTTGTTCTTGTAGTAGCCAATCAGAGTGCCATTTTTGTTTTGGATTTTTCCTACTTCTTGAAAGAAATCTCTTCTGTTCCTCTAGCTATTCCAAGCTGGCCTACTTGTCCTTTCAAGTTGGAATGTCCCACTTCAGAAGATTCTGGATGGGGCTCAGGATTCCACCTAAAGTCCTATAGACTACAAAAGCTCCAGTGAAATAGGAATCCTATTTCACTGGGCAAGTTCTAGAACCCCTTTTAGGTATTCCAATCAGTTAAAGGCTGAAGTCAGGCTTACATGCTTTCCATAATCATGTTTCCCGATAACACTTTCTATCCCACTCAAGTGTCTATATACAGTAGTAGACAAGAGAAACCGATATTCATAAGACAGTCAAGTATCTTAACATTATTTCCCCTTTTACACGTTCAGTCTGTACCTTGATCCCTGTATCAGTGAGCCCTGTTGTTCCAAGGTTGAACATACATCACTATTTACATATGTTCATTTAGCCCATACAAACCTGCCTCTGTGTTCCCCTATCTACCTTGTTCTTCCATCCCCTCCTCCGTGGTGTGTATTGCCCTCCCCAACAACGAAACTATGATGTGTCTATTCCCTACCCTGTGCTCACTCCCGCCCCCTTTCCTCCATCCACAACCAACAAAGAATTTTTTTTTTCCTTTTTAGTATGGGTACCTTTTCTTAAACTTTTACAATAATGGTCTTATGCAGTATTTGTCTTATTATGACTGACTAATTGCACTCTGCCTAATGTCCTCAGGGTTCATCTATGTTATTCGGAGGCTTGCAGCTTCCTTGTTATCCTTCAAGGTACCATAATATTCAATTGTATGTATATACCAAAGTTTTTTTTTTAATCCATTCTTCCATTGATGGGCACTTAGAATAT